TTAAATTTCCCGCCCTTTTCCACTGCTGCGATCGGACCCCCAGGAGGCCTCCAGAGACCTCCAAAGGCACCGATCGCGGTGGCAGGAGACCCCCCCAGGAGATCTCCAATGGTGGCGGGGCAGCCCTGGAAGACCTCCCCCAGGTCCCCTGCCACTGTCAGAGACCTCCTGGGGTCCCTTTTCCTATTGTTGGGATGAAAGAGCAGCCTCTTTGCCACTAACGGTTTGAATGGAATGAAAAAAAGGCAGGGGAAATCTGAATTTCCTGCCCTTTTCCCCTGCCTTTTTCTTTTGGTTCATAGGGCGAGGTCTGTTCGCAAGTCGATACAAATTTCTGTGAACAGAGCCATTTGTAAGTCAAAATGTTCATTGTTAGGGACATTCGTAAGTCGAGGTTCCACTGTACTCGTAAGTCAAGGTTCCACTGTACTCTGCTTCACTTTCTGTAACACCAAACCATCATATCAGCTTGCCTCCTGTTTGTTTGCTTGTCTTAGGGTGGGGCGGGTCTGATCTCATAAAGCACCAACGACATAGAATCTTCCCCATGCAAACCACTGGTTCCCTACAAAGATTAACTGGCTACTTTATGTGCCCAGCACCTTCTGAAGTTGGGGCTGAGAAGAAGCAGGCACGTGTACAGATTCTTCTTCATGGAAGTGAGCAGGAGAAGTGCTTTCTCACTCACTTGCTTGTTCTGTACATTGATGCTCCCTCCCTCACTGCAGAGGGAATATCAAACAATTCAGGATCACCAGAGACTTTCTTTTCTCCCTTTTGTAAGCTCTGCATTCCTGGGCAGGGATGTTTTCACCATTCCATACAGAGCAGCTGGAGAACTGACAACTGCTGGACGGCTGCAAAGCTTGAGGTGGGATGTATAATTTTGACAAAATGACCCCACTGATACAAGATGTTCCTATTCTACCAAGAAAGAAGAATGGCATTAACATTTTGTTAATCATTCTAAAAGAGCTATAATTTTCACATTCCATCAGAGCCAGAAGTCAAGGATTTTGTGCTGAACAGTCTTACTGGTGCCAATTGAAAGAGCTCCTCAAGGCAAAAGGAAAAAAAAGATATCCTAGTGAGTTTAGTTCTTTACATGGAGCTTTCCTTGAAGATGGTACAGAAGCTTCAGCAGGTTCAGAATGCGGCAGCCATGGTAATCTCTCTGGTTAAGAGATTCGATCACATTACCCCCATTCTGGCTCAGCTATACTGTCTTTCTGTTAGCTCCTGTATCAGATTTAAGGTGTTAATTACAACTTATGAAGCCATAAACAGTTTGGGATCTCTCTGCCTGCTGAAGTGCCTCTTCCTGAGACTATCTACCCTTCCAACCTGATCCTCTCAGGCCTCTCTATTGAGGGTGCCCACCTTGAGGGAAGTAAAGAAGGTCATCACTAAAAATCAGGCTTTTACAGCTGTGACATCCTCTTTATGGAACAAACTTCCATTAGAGATCAGACAGGCCCTCTTCCTACAGTCCTTTAGAAAATTATTGAAAGTTGAATTGTTCAGGGTGGATGCTTTTGTCATCTAATATCACCAAGGCATTTTGTGATCTTTGTTCACTTCTTGTAGTGCTCTACTTCCTCACTCTACCTCTTTCACCACTTCTTGCCTAAGCTTAACACAGGGGCCAGACAGAGAGCTGCTATCAGAGTACTGTTCATTCATTCATTCATTCATTCATTCATTCATTCATTCATTCATTCATTCCTTCATTCATTCCTTCATTCATTCCTTCATTCATTCCTTCATTCATTCATTCAATTTATATACTGTCCATCTGGCCGACAGCCACTCTGACTTTTCCCTATGGATTCGGCCCTTGTTGACTGGCTGTTGAGACCTTTTTGCTAGGCAGAAACATTTGGTGTTGCCTTTTAAGCTGCTTAGGTAGGCTTCTAGAATTATAAGACTCTGTCAATTTATCCGTGTTCATTTGCTGTCTACTGTGAAGGCAAATAGCAATCCTAGAATTCTCTCACCCATGATAGTGATGTCATACAGTGCTCTGCCTTTTTTGGTAGTGGTGATTCAGAATACCTGCCTCAGGGATTGTATCCATGAGGCTGATAATGATACCTCCTCATCTCTGATCTTCATGCTCAGAAAGAGCGGTCTAGACAGAGTTAGACGAGGTTTACTCTCACTACCTCCTGGTGGTAAGGACAGACCATTTTGTTTCCTTCAGGCTCTAAAGAAACCATGTATATTTATATCATGCCTCATTATTGATTCAGTTAGGCTAATGATCATAATGGTAACATAACAGTTAACTGTTGGACTGAAACAATATATCGTATGTTGAAAGAAGAGAAATAACAGACTGGAAATTAAATGCAAGTTTTTGTTCACACAAATATGAATGGAATTGCCACAAGAATAATAGTGTTGCTTGTAGTGCATCACAATCACAGTATGAATGACATATGACTGGGAAATTGAAAGACAGAGATTTGGAACAATCAGCAACAACCTCAAACTAGGTTACCTCCATCCTTTGCTAAGGACAGCAATAACAGCTAATTGAACAAAGAGCTGCAGGAAATAATACATACTATAAGGCATGTAATTTCAGCCATCTTATACAATGACTTTCCATGACCATTGTGGTTGGAGAGTGGTGGTGGAATTCTTACCTCAAATTGCACGTTAGAGCTATCAGTGACTGAAGCCTGCTTCCCCCTTCCCTTCCCAAATATACCACTGTGATTTTTTTCCCTTATGTGGTCACACTGGATGGCTCTTCCCTATTTATTTTACACAAATCCCAAAATCACTTTGAATCTTCTTGGATCCTGCTGCTTCCCTCTGGAAACAAAGCTAGCCATAATCAGTCTAAAAACTAGGATTTAGTTCAAAAGAATGCACAGCCTACATAGAATGAGTGCACATAGCTTGTCTAAAATGTAGCAGTGAATATGATACATAGTCCAAATAGGACCTAGATTTTTTAATACCACTCTTTAGTACCTAGAGCTATTTCAGTACCTCATGCTATTTTCATATTCTCAAAATGCTTCACAGACTACCTTTCAACATGATTTCA